CCTCTGCCCCGGCCTGGGGCCTGAGGTGCCGTCCCCTTTCCCTCCAGCTGCTCGGCAGGCTCCTGAGAGGCTGCTGGCTCGGACACAGCAACCAGCCCCTTCTAAATCGGGTCAGGATTTCCCTGCTTCCGGGCGCCTCGCTGCTCCAGTGCCTGGGGCTGCAGAAGGGGCTGATGCTGGAGAGAAGCCTTTTCTCACGGCTGTTAGAGACCCAGTTGCCAAAAGAGCTAGGCAGCTGTAACAGACTTAAATAGGAATGGAAATGTTTAATTATTAATGCAGAATTGTGTTTAAAAATGAATTACAATATAATTCAAATAAAAATTATCCAGCTAAATTCAGTTTCTATCAAATTTACCCAATAACATTTAATTTGACGCTTTTTTCTATTTTTTCTCCCAAGGAGGGCCCCCTGAAATTGTGCTACCCTGGGCCCCACAGAACTCCCATCCTGTTTAGATCCTTGCTCAAGAGGCTTTTTGTGCACAAAATGGGCCAGTGTAGCCAGATCCTTCTTGCGCAAAAGCCTGTGCCCCCAAAATGGCGGCTTATTAGATATGCAAATGAGGCACCAGGATAATCGTCGCTTAGTCTCATTTGTATATTGCTTGTGCAAAAAACAAGGCGGTGTCGACATAGTCTAGGTGCGACACTCAATCAGAAGCGGTGATTTTAATAACTTAAAACCGAAACGATCGTTCCCCTGGCGCCCCCAGTGCTCCGAAGGGGGTAACACACCTTCCCACGCGGCTACCAGGAACCAAGCGCAGCCCAACTGCCCGTCTCCTTCCCGCGGCTCGGGAGCCCAGCTGGGCACAAACAAGGCGGTGTCGACATAGTCTAGGTGCGACACTCAATCAGAAGCGGTGATTTTAATAACTTAAAACCGAAACGATCGTTCCCCTGGCGCCCCCAGTGCTCCGAAGGGGGTAACACACCTTCCCACGCGGCTACCAGGAACCAAGCGCAGCCCAACTGCCCGTCTCCTTCCCGCGGCTCGGGAGCCCAGCTGGGCACCTCACC